GGCACCTAAAGCTGCATGCCAAGAGACGACTAGAACAGAAGGCTTAACATTCATGCTCCAAAATGCAGAGCCAATGAAAGAATGGATTAAAGCCATGTGCATGATGAATCACGAAATAAATGTAAGGTGTAAAGGGGTTAGCAAATGCATGGATGTCTGAAATTATGAAATATATCAATATGGAACAATAATTGTACTGTTTTTTTTTTTTCTATGATAATAATATATAGTAACAAATCTTGACATATAAATTTGAAGGTGTTACTTAATAATATATTTTATATCAGATTTATATATATGCGCTCACACACATAATACTAAATAATATATTAATAAAAAATAATCAATTTATAAAATTATAACATAGAAATATTAGAATGATAGCATTTTATATTAATAAAAAACAATCAATTTATAAAATTATAAATTAATTGTAAAATTACGAATTACACTATTTTTTAAGAATTTTTTTTAGAAATTTAAAATTGAAACAAAAGAATATAAATAAATCAATCATTAAACAATATATTTTTATCAAAACACAAAAAAATAAATATAATTTTAAAAGAATGAAGTTAAAACGTTGAAATTAGAAGTTATGATTTTTTTTCTTAACTTTCTATAAAGCGGTTCCAATCTTCTTTTTTTTTTTTGGTTGAAAAAAGATTTTAAGATAATATGAGATAAAGATTTAAAATAAAATTAAAATTAAAAATGATATGTAGAGAGATGTTGTGATAAGCTAAAAAAAAAAAAAAAAACACATTTAATACTTAGTTGGAGATATGGAGTCTTGTTGAAAAAGCTCAAATGTTAAATTGATTTTTGTTAACTTTACATGGTTATGATTTAGAACTTGTTACAAATCTCTAGCTTGATTTTAAAAATTTATAAAAGAAAACTTTTGAATATATACAATAAATAGACACATAGCAGTATAATTTTAATTCCTTTTAAATTACAATAATACATAAAATTAAAATTTAAAATCACAAAAAAATAAATTAATAATTTTAATTTAGGGAATCAACTTAAATTTATTTAATATTAATATATACATACTAAAGATTTTTAAAAATTAAAAACTAGGGGGTCCTCTGGCTACAATGAGGAACCGCCATTGACAATATAATCCAATCTATCTAGGTTTATACGTGGTAAATATATACTGTAATACTACTAGAAAGAGGATTACATGGTTTTTGTTCAAAGGAAGTCTAAATTAATGGTAGTCCATAATAACAATAAGAGTAGCAAGCACGATATTTCTCTGTCTAGTTTTCCGAAAAGCACATGCATGTATATAGAGGTGGAACTGAAAGAACTGGGTGAAAAGGAATACATTCCTTTGAAGGCTGAATGCGCAGTGGGATATATAGAAATGAAGCAGGCTCTACCAAAAGAAGGATTGAGTCTAGAAACAAATTAAAATTGCAAATAACGAGTGGATGAGAGGAGGAGGAGAAAAGGAAGGGAATAAGAAACCTGGAAATCGGGCAAGTGCTGGGAAAGTGGAGACAAGAAGAGACAAGTCTGGGCTTCGTATACACGCATGCTTTGCTATACATACAGCAACCTTCCAACCCCCATAAACAGGAGTCCTGACTCCTGAGACATGCCAACCTGTTTTTCCAACAAGGCTTAACCCGTCTCTCTTTCCCTCTCCAATCAACTACTCTACTTTTCTTTAAAGCCAAACAAAAATACAAGTTTCTGTTCTTTGAAACATTTTTATATATTGCAAGTGAAAAGAATCTCATTGAACTAATTTCAACAAAGCAAACAAAAGCTCACTGAATGTGGGGATTTCCTGCTGGATTTGCTTTCCATGATCTCATGCTAAAATGGTTAATCGGTTATTTGCACAATGATTCACATATGATTATACATACATGAATGGTGATATCAACCGAAAACACAATATATATGTACCCACTTCTAGTCCTTTTGTTGCAGAGAAGAATATAATGTCCCAATATACAAAATTATAAACAATCCAACATTATTAGCTTTACATACATGTACGCATAAAATTTTTAGCCTTTTTTTAAGCTTAAAAATTTTACTAATTTATGGATTTTTTTACAAAAAAAAAAGTTCTTATTTTCTTAACTCATTAGTATGCGCAAACAAACTTAGAAAGAATATATATATTGCGCTAAAAAGAATCATAGCCCACAAACTTTGAAAGGAATAGTACAGCAAACGGAAATGACAACTAGAAACCCTAGTTTGCTGATTAGATTCTAGCGAGTTTCACAAAGGGTTCAACCCATAGACATTGGGGTCCTTCATTTGATGTTCTTATGAGAGTTTGGAGCATAATCAGGCAGTAGGTTACCGTCAACACCTTGGCAGTGCGAGCCAGATATTACAGTCGGACACTCGGACTTACACACAAAAAAAAAAGGGCAGCATGCAAAGCATTAATTAATCAAAGACAAGGATTACAAACCATTCCCCATCCACAAAACATAAAAAATAAATCCCACTAAGAGACATAGGTTAGCTCCTAGGAATCTAAGCTCTTCTCTTTATAAATGTAGATGCCATTCACTTCTATTTCTCACAACAAAAGAGAGAGCAACAAAGAAACATCCATGGCCACTAAACATGGTGAGAGTTCTCCAACTGTTCGGGTTACTAGGACAGTTTGCGTAGTCCCCAAATCCTTGCATCCACAACAAATTCTTCATCTTTCCAATTTAGACAGGCAGTGTCCGATGCTTATGTACGTGGTTTTCTTCTACAAATCTTCTTGTGCTTACCAGAACTTGTCTCTGGATTCAATTTTTAGTCGCTTGAAATCTGGGTTGGAAGAGACTCTTTCGACTTGGTATCCAGCTGCAGGTAGGTTGAGCTTGAACCCTAGTGATGGTAAACTTAATCTTTGGTGCAACAATAATGGTGCAGTTCTAGTTGAGGCAGTTACCAATGCTAAGATCGTTGAACTTGGAGATCTTTCTCAATACAATGAATTCTTCGAGTATTTGGCTTACAAGCCTGTTATTCAGGGGAACTTCTCGGAGATGCCTTTAGTTGTTGCTCAGGTGAGAACATTTTTCTAGAACAAATCCTGTTTTGACTGTTTCTGCCTCTCTTTAACTGACAACAAAATCTTGAAATGAAATTCCATGATGTCCAGCCGCGATGATTTTAGTTATTTCTTAAACATACATAGTACATAGATACATACATACATACATACGAATATACACACACACACACACACACACGAGCTTCTCATATTATTGTTCTTTTTGGTCGTTGCCATGTAAATTTTCTTTCCT